CCCGGAGTCTGCTGGTTGGATTGTACAAGGGAGTGCGGCAGCAATATCATTACAGTACATGTAAGCCCAGGGGTAGGCAACCTCAACCCTACAGCTGTGGTGAAACTACAAATCCCAGCATGCTTCTGCCTCTGGTAGTCATGCCTGTGTCAGAGTCTTGGAAGTCCTTGTAGTCCCACAGCGGCTGGAGCGCCGAGGTTCACTCACTCATCTACTGTATCTGCGGATGAGCAGTGTGGCCACCCCATAAATAAAATCTGACACCCCGAGTCAGTGTTAAATGGTTTGTCCCAATCCCAACTGGCTGCTGGACAGCTCGGTCTGGTAAAAGAAATCAATGTCCCTAAACCCAAAATTCAGCACGAGAGAAAACATGACACAATTTATAAACCGTTCGCCCAGCAAACGGCTCCGAGAATGGGATTCACCGCCCATTATGGCCACTAGGTGGAGCCGGGAAGACTCAGGGATATTCTTTGCTCTTCAGCTCCATCTAGTGGCCATAGTGGGCGGTGAATCATTCGTAGAGCTGTGCATCCGGTGATCCGGTCAGTATTGCCATCCAGAAACGGCAAGCTGGTGTTCCCTTTTTTTGGGTGAAGACAAGGAGCGGGTAAACTCGGTCAAAGTGAAGATTTCCACTGCAGGATCGTAAATGTCACAAACAAAAGGTTTCATCCTTGGCGTTAATGTCAAGTGTCATGTGACAGAAGAGGAAGTCCCCGTCTGTATAAGAAGATGTAAAGATGTGGTAAAGGGAAGTCTTGGGTACTGATGGCAACCAACTAAACAAAGTCAACAGAGGTCAGTCAACTGGGGACAGTCAGCTGAGGTCAGGCAACCGTGGACAGTCAACTGAGGACAGTTAACTAAGGTCAGGCAACTGGGGACAGTCAACAGAGGACAGTTAACTAAGGTCAGGCAACTGGGGACAGTCAACAGAGGACAGTCAATCGAGGACAGTCAGCTGAGGTCAGGCAACCGTGGACAGTCAGCCGTGGTCAGTCAACAGAGGTCAGTCAACCGATGACAGTCAACCAAGGAGAGCCAACAGAGGTCAGTCAACCGATGACAGTCAACCAAGGAGAGCCAACAGAGGTCAGTCAACCGATGACAGTCAACCAAGGAGAGCCAACTGAGGTCAGACAACAGAGGTGAGCCAACCGAGGTCAGTCAACTGAGGTCCTTGGGTGACCTCTTTTGATTTTGTTTCGGTGGCTACCATCAGTACCCAATGAGGTCATGCATCCAGCAGAATTTGGCTTGAAAAAAATAGTTTTTGGAATATTTCTTAGATGTTCCAATAGTAAATGGGGTCTTTTCCACAATCATTATCAGCTATAGTGAAAATATTAAAGGGACACGATGGATTTTTTTTCTGGAAGGTACAAAATTCTACCACTGATTGTGTTTTTTGTTTGAGAAACTTTGTTCATTTCCAAATTTGAATGTTAAATTTGAACAAAATTTCCTCGAGTCTCTGATGGCTTTCGAATGTTCTGATGAGACTTTTTATATGAACGTTCGTACGGAAATCTATCAGTGTGTGGTCACCTTAAGACTCCCCTTTACCACTACACTGCAACTTCATATACAGATGGGGGTTTCTGCTTCTGTCACATGACACTTGACATTAACAGGGCTCCCAACTGCCCCTGATTTGGAGGGACTGTCCCTCCTCTGGAACAAATCCCTCTGTCCCTCTTTCCTCTTCAGTTGTTCCCTTTTTGCTCTGATGTGCAGATCGCTCTGAAAATGTATGAATTATTATTATTATTTATTAT